GAAACATTTGCGAAAAGGGTAACTTCGGAATTCTGACGCATACGAAAACTCCCCGCAGTAATAACCCCGGTTTAGCGGATGTATTTCTATCCCCATTAGTGCGCTCTCTAAAGCTTCTTCTAATTTTTCATTTCAGTAGAATGAACGTAATTTGAAAATAACACCATAAGAAATAATCTTTATTCGTTTCCTCAAATAAAAATGTTAACCTTTCACGTTGTCAGTTATTTTTACATAACTACTTATCTAACCACTTATGCATAATGATAATACACCTATCTATTCTTCTCTTGCCATTCTCATTTTCTTTTCTATTCTTTTCTTTACTTTTCTTTTTATTCCATTTCATTTCTTTTCCTGTTACTTTCTCTTCTTTCATATTTCTCTTATCAATAAAAGAAAGTCGGACGAAAAGTTGTTCGTACGCGCTCCTTCGCACTTTATTCCGAAATCGAGTACGAGAAAGAGATGCGATCGAAAAGAAAAGAAAAGAAAAAAAAAAGAAATAAAGAAAGAAAGAAAGAAAGAAAGAAAGAAAGAAAGAAAGAAAGAAAAAAGACCAAAGAAAAAAAAAAGCATTATCCGTATAATAAATAAATAAACGTCCCGTAACAATTTCCTTATTGATTTGAATTCGTCGTTTGATCACGACCGATAATAATACGTCGTTGGGTTGATCTGTTAAAGGAAAAAAAAAAAAAAAAAAAGATGAAGAGAATAAAAGAAAAGAAATTTCATCGACCTAGCGCCGTTTATTGTTATCAATTCAAACATAACCGAGTAAATAATATCCACGCCAACGTTATAATACGGAAAGAAAAAAAAAAAAAAAGAAAAAAAAAAAACTTGGATATATCATTCTATACTTCACGGGAATATATACTTTCTTTGTTGCTTTAACCCCCTTTATTTCCACGATATATTTGTATTATCTTTGTTTTTTCTATAACAAAAGAAAGAAAAAGAGATGGCCAAGCTCGATATGATGACTAAAGGGATTTATTAAACTTCCAACGATGATAAAGTTAGCGTTATCTTTCTCTCTCTCTCTCTCTTTATATACATATATATATATATATATCTTTCATCTCTCTTTCTCATAGTGAAACAAAGCCTGGTCATACGTGTTTCGGCTCAGACCGTTCGTGCGTGCGAGGCATGCGTGAAAACAATGATGCATTATTAACTTTAACCCAATCCCCACCCCCTACGATCCTTCCCTAACAAAGATCAGTGTTATGTATATAGTTATAATAGCCTGGATAGATAGATAGGTAGATAGATAGATAGATAGGTAGATGGATAGATGGATGGATGGATAGGTGGAAAGATACTCTCGAACAAAAGAGTCTTTATCGTTCATGAAATGTCGAAGGTACATTCGTATTTTGTAAAAACAAAAGGATAAAAATTCATACAAAAAGAAAAATTTAAAAGAATAAGAACAATCTCTCTCTTTCTCTCTGTCTCTCTTTCTCTCTCTTTATCTCTCTCGTAGTTTCGAAATTGTTTTAAAAAAAAAGATGATCATTTGAAAAATCGTGAACGCGTTCAAACATATTTTCTACGTCCACCCCACCCCCATTCATCGTGAATAAATTAGGATAAATAATTTTACGAAATTATTATATTATTATTATATATATATATATATATATATATATATATATGTATATATCAATATTATATTAATATATTTCAATCTGTGCAAACGTCTTTTATTTACATAAAAAAAAATATATATATATATGATTATTTCGTATATTTCGTATAAATAAATTGGTCGAAACTAATGTTAAAATATTTGAGAACAATTGTTTCCCTGTTTTGAAGTAAACGTTCATTAAAAAAAAAAAAAAAAAAAAAAAAAAAATCCAAAGAAATTCTATATTTCTCGTAGCTATTAAAAATAATCGAGTATTTAGCTTACAAGCGAGAAAATAAAAAAAAAAAAAAAGAAAAAGAAAGAGAAAAATGAAAAGAAAAGAGAAAATCATTGCGTTAACAATTAAAAATTTGAATTACGCGAGAGAGAGGGAGGGAGAGAGAGAGAGAGAGAGAGAGAGAGAGAGAGAGATGAGAATTGGAATCGAATCGTTAAATTGTTAAGAATCGCAAGTCAGCAATAGTAGTTGCGTAATCGATTTCAATTTTGAATATAATCCGCATTAAGACGATACTGATGGAAAATAGAATGCAAGGTGATAGGGCTTTGATCTCCTAGTCAAAAGATTACGATGGATAGATAGATGGATCAGATCACTTTGGTATAACGAGAATATAGATTGAATGTGTATTTGTATGTATGTGTTAGAAGATATTGGTCATTCTCTCTGGTGTACGCTAGTATCCATATTCGATATGTATGAGTGTGCGTATACGTGTTTATATATAGTTTGTATGTGTGCGAATGCGTAAGGGTGTGGCAAGGGAAACGAAACGCGTATGTACGTTCCTGCGGCCGAGTTACACGTTTGACTTTGTAGTCTGTTTACGTTAGTGGTCTACTTTGTTCTCTCTCTCTCTCTCTCTCTCTATATATATATATATGTATATATCTGTCTCTCTCTCTTTTCTTTCTATCTCTCTTTCTCTAGTGTACGTTTATACAGTTACACTGAGTCCAAATAGTAACATCAATAAAATAATATATACGATTTCACGCGTGTCCCTTGGAGAGATCCCAATCCCTTTGTCTCTCTTTCTGTCTCTGTCTTTCAAACCTTCTATTTCTTTTATTCATTCGTTCTTTCTAAAAGCGTATTTACGTTCCTTCAAACGAGCTTTGTTCAATTTTGCAAAGAAAGAAAGAAAAGAAGGAAAGAAAGGAGAGAATCAGACAGAGACAGAGAGACAGAGAGACAGAGAGAGAGAGAGAGAGAGAGAAGATGAGAGAGAATGAGAAGATGAGAGAGATTAAATGAGGGACAACTCATTTGACATACTTAACAAAATGCTCGAATTCTAGATCTTCTTTGTGACCTATATTTAACTAAGGTTATAAGAAAAGTGATATATATATATATATATATATAAAGAGAGAAAGAGAGAGAGAGAGAGAGAGAGAGAGAGAGTGAGTGGGGGTGGGAGAAAGAGGAAAAAAGGATAAAACATTTCCACGGCATAATAATATAATAACAACAGCTTACGAATTTTCTCGAGAATATCTTTATCTCATAAAGACGGAGAAATTGTTTCGAAAGGAATGTTTTAAAAATCACGGAAAATTAACTTCCTCTTTCGAAATGAAATCCTTAAGGGTCTATTTCCATTGTCCCTTGTTTTTATTATAATCGTTTACTCCAGCAATTAATTCAAACGTAATACCTTGACCGACTTTGACAATTAGTTTTCTCGACAGTTGTTCTTTCATTATACATTATTCCAACGTGTAAACATCGTTATTTTCTTTATCATAGCTATCAAATTAATGTTAAATGAATTTATATGTACGATTATTTTAGGATTGTTTGATAAAAAAAAAAAAAAAAAAAAAAAAAAAAAGAAAAGCCACATTTATAAGTACACAATGTGCAAATGAATTAAACTTGTAATATTAAACAATAATGTTATTCCGTTTTAATATTAGATAACTCGTAAGACAGACGCTTGTGATATAATATAATTTTTAATTTTGATTTTTTTAATATCTCATATATTAAATTTCAAATTTAATATCATCATTGATTTATAATGTAAATAAAAATTTACATTAGAGCTCAGTTGACTTCGAATTGTCATACAGTTTATATAAAAATTTTCAAATATGACAAAGTAAACATTGAACATCACCATTTATTTATTTATTTTTTTTTTTCTTTTTTTTCTTTTTTTTTTCTACGCGAGAGAATTAAAATAATTTTATTTGACTGATGTGACACGCGTTAAATGAATATTATTTAATTGAATATTTTAATGGAATTAAATTTTGAACGTGGAGTACGTCGTACCCTTCATCTAATATCAACAGAAAATGACTTATGGCGGACTTTGATTAGTTACCGATTTAGTTTTCTCTTGCATTACGATGAGTTTAACATCGAAAATCGATCTTTCCGTACGGTCAAACTTCGATAATTTATAATTTCGATAATTTTCGATTTATTTAAAATATCTTTAACATGTACGCGGAATACGATAAATTATTATATTTAAATAATAATACAATCGTTTAAAAACATTAGAAAGATCATAAATTCGTGATGTAACTTAAAGTAATTTTAAATTTGATATTTTAATTCATTAAAATTTCCATCCCAGGAGTTTATAGTTTATCCTGTGTAATGTAAACAAATACGATCTTTCAATTAACTTTGACGATTTTATCGGATCAGTTCTTCTTTGTCCTCCGACGAGTAAACATCGAAAGGTCTCACTCTCTCTCTCTCTCTCTCTCTCTTGGATGTCTTTACTGCAAGTATCGATCTAATATTTAAACTAATATTTATATTTTATATATTATAAAATTTCTTCGATAATTTCTAAGAGTTTCTTATTATAACAATGATATTAATAATTTCCTTTTTATTTATTTATTTATTTTTTGTTTTGTTTCAGGAGTACATTGCAATCGAGCGCGAAGCAATGACATTAATCGAATGTTCGTCTCGTTAAATTAAAAATATTCGCGTAGTAGAAGCAGCATGTTATTCGTTTGTATTTAGTGATTCAAACAACAAGTGTTTTATGCACAAATCGATTTTGCGTGCAATGCAGTAGTTAGATTCAGTGTTTGATCCGCAAAGTGTTTTGCTTTTTTAACAGTCTCACAGACTGTATTTATCAAAGTCAGTAGAATTAAAGTGAAATAAATTCAATGACCGTCCGTTAATAAATAACTATCGTGAATTAGAGTCAGTGCATCATTAAAGAGGATCTTGACCAACTTCGATGTCGACCTCTATCTCATTTACAACCACCTACGAATCTCATCCACCCTTAATTTCGACCTAAATCGCGGATGAGTGTTTTGAAGCCATCGTAGAGAACTTTCTTAAGTAGTAAGTTGAATTTTTAATTTACTTCGATCACACTCAATCATGTCGAGAGGATGAAATGTCCGAATCGGAATGGAGTTGATCGATTGTAATTAATTAGTAAAAAGAAAAAAAAAAAAAATAAAAAAGTATTGAGTGACCACGAATAAATTTCTTCGTGAGAATGATCTCTTATTTTTGAATTTATTTATTAAATCCAGAATAGGATAAATATTTGTACAAACGCGTTTACAAGTATCTCATTATTTGGAATATTTTCATAAACTTTTAAATATTTTTAAATTAAAAAGAAAAAAAAAAAAAAAAAAAAGAAAAAAAAACATCAAAAAAGTATACAGTCCCATAATTCGTAAGGTCTAGGATGATAAGTTAATTAATTTTTAAATTAGGATTTTCAACAATTAATATACTAATTATAATTTCTCCTATTCCGCGATAAGGTATATCTCGTAAAGATAATAATCAGTTTCTATCCATAGTGATAAATGTATATATAATTTTTAGACAAGTTAGATATTATGTTAGGATATTTTTTGCATATCTTAAAATTTAGAATCAAATATTGTCAGTTTTTTGAACGATAATTGATTAGATTAGGACGAGGAAGAGACCCTCTACGAACTATGGCTCAAAAGGACAATCATATTAGGCTATTGAGTTATTTTCGAAGGTTCAATGGTACAACCACCCTTCGAGAATATCCTCTTAGTAATAATTTTGCGAAAATTGTGCGAAACCAAAGTGCAAGTACATCGAATCAATGTGTACACGAAACGAGCTGACGAAAAAGTATGCCAAAGTTCTTCAATATTGCTACGCGTACGGAATTAGGATTAGGATTATTTGATTTTTTTTTATTTTTATTTTTATTTTTTTTATCATTATTATTAATTAAAGTTGTGTTTCATAAATTTTTTTCACTTAGATATCTCTTATTTTTCAAGTTAACTTAAATTCATACTTTTATCTATTCATAAAATAATATATATATATATTTTATTTCTATAAAATTATGATTCTATTAAAAGTCATAGTCACGAAATGTATAAGATATGGCAAGTGGGAGCGGAGTAGGGAGTCAGCTTAAACTGCACCGAATATAAAAGTGCACATGGAGTTGAAAAATGCACGCTAGTATGAGCGCCAAGTTTTCTCCCTTTGTCATGTGTTAAAGGAAAGTGAATATTTTTGTTTAGATTATGATCAAAAATTTTTCATTTATTCTTGCCGTTTTATTTCTTTTTTCTTCGCATTAAATTAAATTAAATTAAATTAAATTAAATTAAATTGAATTAAATTACATTCAAAACTTTATCTTTCATAAGTAATACACTTATATACGTACTCTTTATCCTTTTTTCTCGTATTTCTTTCGTTTATTTCTTTTATTTTATATAAAATCAAGTAACGTTTTTAACGTCAGAGTCATTAAATCATGGCTTTTTAAAATCGTGAAAACGAATAAAAAATGACAATTGCGGGTGAACATTGAACGCATTGGACATTAGTGTGAAATAAGTATACTTAAATATATATATATATATATATATATATATATATATATATTTATATCATGTTATTTATTTACACAATATTACGAGAAACGTTTAACGATTGAGAAATTTTCATTTTTCGATAGAATTTATTCAATATAAGTTACAGAGTATATAAAAGTTACGTTTGATATTTATATTTGAAAATGATATTTAAAGAAATATAGATTTATTCGTGAAATACCACCGGATAGTATTGATTTAAACTCGATCGTATATTGAACGCCCACTGATTTAAATTTTTATACGAAAGAACATAAAATCTTTTCCATTGGATGAAATACGGAACGTATTCTTTTCTACTTTTTCAATTGAGACAAATACACGTATCGTGGTAAAATCATTGATTCTTTTTTTTTTCCGCGCTTACTTCCAAAGATTATTTGATTTGATCGATCGACTGATTGAAATTCTTATTTGGATTTTAAAAAAAACAATAATATAGAAGTGAAATAATTTAATATGGATTTGTGATTTTTCTTTTTTTTTTTTTCTTTTTTCTTCTTTAAACGATTAATTTAATGTTACCGTGGGACTCCAGATGCAGTAACTTCCATCACGTGAAGGTGTGACCTGTGGTGGGTCGATAGTAATTGTTATCTTATCGAAATTTGATCTGACGCAAGTACTATCGGGCGGATGACTGCTTTATCGTCTTCAGAAATCTTTTTTCGATTTAATTTCGTGCAAAAAAAAAGAAAAAAAAAATTGGTAAAAGAAAAAGAGAATAAAAGAAATAAATTAAAGTTTCATTCAAGCTTTACATTGGTAATGTTATTTCAATGGACAAATAGTATGGACGTAGTAGAATTTTTTTTTTTTTTAAATAATTTTTCTTTCTCCCTTTCGAACGAATACAATTATGTCATATACCTTTTTTTAAAAGAAGGTCTCTATAAATGGTAATACCGTCAATACCAAACGGGATATGTTCGAACATCGAAGAAATTTTTTTCAACAAAACTTTATAATCGGTAAATATATATATATATATATATGTATATATATATGTATGTATGTATATATATGCGTGCGTGCATGCGTGCATGCGTGTGTAACGAATAGAGCGAAAAACGCATTTAATCGTACGATATCAGGAAAATATAAATATTCGGGCCGACGGATGAAACTGGATGGGTGAATCCATTCAATGAATTACATGATTATCGGCTTTAGAACTTTTTATTACATTCCGATACTCCGAACATCCCTCTACCATTTCATTCCCCTTTCAATCGTAACCCTTTTCGCGAGCGAAACGTTTTAATAAGCGGTACGGTTTACGTGAATCTCGTTTACATTGTACTTTTCCAAAAGAGAAAAAAGATAGAGAAATTGAGGTTATGTGTGTAAGAGAGAGAAAGAGAGAGAGAGAGAGAGAGAGAGAGAGAGAGAGAGAGAGAAAAAATGAGAAAGAGAGAGAAAATTTGAACGATAAAGCATTAAAACTGAAAACAGTTTCTACGCTTTCGTTAATCTATCCATCTCTCTTTTTTTTTTTTTCTTTTTCAATTCTTTTTTCCTTTTCCTTTTTTTCTCTTTACTTTCGCAAACTTCGAAAATCTCTGTAACCCCCTTTTCTTACTTTTTCCTTTTCCTTTTCCTTTTCTTTTCTTTCTTTTTTTTCTTTTTTTCTTTTTTTCTTTTATATAGGTTCAATATAAATTTTAGCGAGACACATCGAAGTCTTTATTACCGAGAAAGAGAAGAATGGTCAGAAGGGAAAAATGTTCGTTTGAAAAATTTCTTCGTCTCCGGTGCGTTCCTTTTCCTTAAGAAACACAGAAATGGCGGGTAAAGTGATGAGGACAGATAAAGCTAGAAATTAAGAGAAAGAGAGAGAGAGAGAGAGAGAGAAAGAGAGAGAGAAGAGAGGATGATAGAGAGACAGAAGAGACAAAGGGAAAGAGCGAAGGGTAAGATCTTTTTTCTCAACTCTAACACTAAGAAGAACGTACGGTAAAGTTAGGTTAGGTTCAGTTAGGTTAGGTAAGGTAAGGTAAGGTAAGGTTAAGGTATCTCGTATCGGTACTTTCAACGAGAACGGAGACTGCAAGAAAACAAGAGAGGAGGGAATTAAAATAGTAAAAGAAAGCGGTAGACAATGAGGACTTTGGTAATTAACAAGGTAGTATTTAACGGGTAACGACCTTGTCGGGTTAATCAAACGAAGATAGAGATAGATATATTTCTTCGTGCCATCGCGTAAAATCTCTTTAGCTTCCACTTTTACCTACCGTATTTATTTAACCGTTCGTATAGTCTTTTTCTCTTTCTTCAAGATAAAGAAAAAGAAAAAGAAAAAGAAAAAGAAAAAAAACAGAAAAAGAAATATAAGAATCTTATTATTTCATCAGGCGTGTCCTTTAATGTTGGATCTCTTCTTCATTTTCTATCGAGATACTTTACGTAAGTATTCTTATGTACGTAGGATCGATCGATCAATCGAATAAAATGTTCATTACAATTAATCATTTGTTAATTAATAAGAAGAATTTTTTATTGTCGATTTTCCCTTTGAATTTTCTTTTCGTTCTTCATTCTTTTTCCTTTTCTTTTCTTTTTCTTTTTTTTTTTTTTCGTTATCCTCAGTGTCACATAGAAACAGCATCGAATAGCGATATTAATGTCTTCTCGTATTTCGATCTCATTCTTTTTTCAATCTTGATAATCATTAGTACACTCGATCTCCAATGCTTCTCTCTCTCTCTCTCTCTCTCTCTCTCTTTCTCTAAAAGGAGCTCGTATCTCGTAATTGACATTGTGTCATTGTAAATTTAATTGCCGCGGGAAATGACGTGACGAACGAACGAATGAACGAACGAACGAACGAACGAACGAACGAACGAACGAACGAACGAACGAACGAACGAACGAACGAACGAATAAACGAACAAACGAACAAACGAACGTACGTATGAACGAACGACGAACGAATGAACGAATGAATGAACGAATGAATGAACGAATGAACGTTCCGTCGAGGAATGTAATAAATTCGATACCCGTTATCGATTATATCCAGCTAACGGAGAACCCATATATATTTCTTCCTTTCGGAATATAGCTTCGTCAATAGTCGACTACAATCGACCGGCTCCATTCATATTTCATTGGGAGCCAATAAATTTTCGTGAAGCTTTTAGTAACTTTATCCTTAAGCGGCTCTGTTTTCCTACGTTCGTCGAACTTCCTTTAAGTATTCGTCTTTCGTCACTACCCCAACCCCAATCGTCCAACCAACCACTCCCCACCTGCACTTTCATTCCTTCCATCCACCCTCCCGCCCTCCCTCCCTCCCTCCTAATCCCTCACTCTTCATCGTTCTCATCCTCTCTCTTTCTCCCTATTTCTATATCTATCTTTCGATTACATCGATTACTAATCATCCTTCGGGATCTAAATATTTCATTGGGAATAAATTCATAAGGCCATTCGTCATATTAATCA